CATACATACATACATACATACATACATACATACATACATACATACATGTACCAATGCATACATTTGCATGTATCAATGCATATATTCATACATACAGTATATATATTCATTCATACGCACATACACTTGCATGTACCAATGCATACACACACACACACACACACAAAATTCAATCGTGAATACAAAATGATAGGACATTCAGAGGTCAGTGAAACTGAAATAGTTTGTGATGCTGAATGGGCTCTGACACAAAGACAAAGTGTGCTTTGGAGAGAGCTGCATTTCCAAAAGGATCCAGGAAAGAGGCAGGAAGCAAAAGTTAACTGAAGCAGACAGCACCTGTCCAAGTAAAATGTGTTACATGTGCAGTTTTTTTTAAATGTACTCCAAATGTGCTTACTGCTCATTGTTTTACCAGGTCAGAGAAGCAAGTGGCCTTCTCTTAGCTGGGGGGCTCCCAGGTCCTCGTATCTTAGCTCAACTGGGACTGTAGGGAGAACTCGTCCTGGTAGCGACAGAAAGCCAGGAGATTCAGCTCTGCTGATGATATTCTGAGGTCGGAAAAGCCCCCTCATCCCCAAGTTAACAGGGTCAGATGGTTTTCTCCCCTTCCTCTCCCCACAGAAAAGGTCATGAGTTCTAATACAATGTATATTCAGAGAATCTTGGTATGTCGTCCTGACCACTTTGTCAAAGTCCTATTTAAATAACATCACTATCTCTTCTCCCTTCAAGAAAAGACTTCTGTCTCTCATTGAAAATTGAATTTCCACCACACACACCTCAAGATCTGGAGGAGCAAAGACAGAAGCAAGGTCCCTGCTGGTCTGCAGGTAGAGATGAGTGCTTCTAGGTCAGCGTTGGAGAAAGGCTCCAGAATGACTGAGGGAAGAAGGCTTAAAGGGAAAAGGCTAAGAAGCCGTTACTGAGGCCTGCAGTGTGTGTATGTGTGTGTGTGTGTGTGTACACTGACCCCTGCACTGTGTATTTATGGGTTTTTACATACCCTGGTCAGGTCAAAAGGAAAGGAATCATTTGGAACAAGCCTCATGATTCTGAAAACAAACTCGTAAAACCTCAAGCTGAAGCCTGTCGGGCTTTGTTTCCTCTAAATAAATCAGACTCACTCGCTGTGACAGCTTTTTTGCACACCTGCAGCTGTAATTATGATGGTTCGGGATGATGATCTAATAAGTTGTAACATCTTTGCAGGCATTTTAGGTTCAAGGTTAATTTGTGCCCGCCTCTTTGTACTGTGTGGTACAGAATGGACCACATGAGGTTTGGCTTAATCATGGTTGTATGGACTTAAACTGGATGAAAAAGTAAAATGATTTTTTAACCTCAAGAGGTGAGACTTGGTTCTCAAACTGTTCTGGATCTTTGATGCTGTTTTTTCCAAAACCTCTGCATGGCCCATCCTTTTGTATTCACTCAACAAATTCAATAGCTGCGGGTGTAAACACAGTTTCAGGCATGATTGACTATGATGGACCAGCAGAAAGTAACTCACCTTCATTTTGTTTGCCTCCCAGGAGAGGAGAGATAACGGCTGACACCGAGTCCACCACCACCGCCTTCACAGAGCCCCCCCCGACAGACGCCTGCCAGAGACCGGGACCAGACACATCGCTGAGAACCTGATAGCTCTCTGTCAGAGCTCCCAAAGGAGCCGGTAAGGAAGTTTATGGAAACCAAAAAGCAAAAACACACCCTCTGAAGGCCTCCACCACAAAGATCGTACAAACAGTCGAGCAGAGCGTGGACGTCAAACAGGCGGAAGACGTGAATCCTCTGAAGAGCCTCCATCTGCAGAGCCACAGCTTCATGTGACAACATTCTGTATGGGAGATGCGTGTGTTTAAAGCAACATCTCTGGCAGCTCACCTGCTCCTGTGTGTTGCTGGTTTCAGTTTGCAGCATCTGCAGCAGGCGGCTGGCAGTCATCCCTCCGGTGGTGTCGATATAGATCACACTCTGTTTCAGGTGGTGGGAGATGTTCACCGCCAGGCCGAAGCACACCTGGAGAAGCACACCCAATAGTTCAAGACACCCGGAGCATTTGACATTTAAGGCAGTAAGAGAAGAGGACATTCAAAAAGGAGTGAAAATGAGGCTGAATCAGGAGGAGAGACGGCTGACCTGAGATTTGCCACTTCCTGGGCCTCCTGACAGCTCCGTTATCTCCCCAGTGTACACGCCTGAGTCCAGGAGTTTATCTAAGCTGCGAGAAACAAGGTACACTTCATTACCAGCAGCTGCCATCGGGCGTAATAAACCATCAGCTTCACGCTGGCTCAGCTACACAGCCAACAAAGACACACAACGCAAACAGCTCCAGAGTTTTTCTAAAATGTCCGCACCACTGGCTGCTACTTTCTAACCACATCCATCAAATGCAGCAGAATTTGGACTTTTCTGCTTCCCGATGGGGGTGTGATTTCATCGCCACCCTTTTATCTGTAGAATTGGGCTCCCTGTGTAAAAACATGTCGCTGTCCCTCATGCTGCTAACAAAAGCTGACAGGGAGAGCACAGGACGTGCAATCACTCAGAATTCGGGATGTTCTGGTGAATGTTGACCAATACTATACAATCTGTAGATTGGTCTGGGCCCAGTTTTAGAGACCAGTGTCAGCGTTTTTATTCCAATACGTTACAGTATAGAGTCAGTTAAAAAAGTGCAACCTAACCCTATAAAGCCATACGTATCAGATTTGATACATACGGATTCTGAAATGTTTAGCATCATTTAATGGTAAAAACCTTCTTCCAAACTCTGTTAAATTTTCGTATTTTGTTAAAGGGCCAAATAAAGACTTGGATAAACTTCTTGAATCTTACAACCTGGTCTATCTTTCTCTGGCCTCATTTTTGCTCCACAGGTAAATCCAGCCTTAGCTTCACCTTCAAACACCAGAGTCCCCCCCCCCCTCAGCTCCTCCAACCCCTCGCATGTGCTCACACCACCAGACGCTTAAGTCGTAAATCACTGGGAATCCGTTCATTTCCAGCCGAGCTCTGTGAATGCAGGCTGGACTGTTTCACAACAATCTGATTTCTGGGTGAATAATGGTTCTGTCAAGAAGGTGCAGCTTCCCCAGCTGTCCCACACATCAGTCCCAGCCTTTTTCAACATGTTTGCATGCACAGAGAGAGGAACAAAAAATCACTAACTTGGAAAGATAAAGATTCGGGTCACTAAAATGATTGCCCATTATCTGCCTTTTCCTAAATTATCTTGTCTGTTACTTGATACAATTTGGAATACGATAAAATGTTTAAGCCCTGGCTTCGACTTCGGTTATGTAATTTCTGAATCAACGACTGAGCTGAGCGAAGTGACAGGAATAAAAATAAAATAACGACACTGTTGAGTCATCAGCACAACAGATGAACTGCGTCAGAAAATACATGCTTCGAAAATAAAAGACAAATGTGCCAATCAAGTTGGACAAATATGGGGAAAAAAAGAGCAGACAACCAAAACTCCCAAAACACTGGTTCAATTACAAAGGTTAAATTGTGGTTCCCAAAACCTGCCGCTTTGATGCCACTGCTGACTGGAGGAAACGGACTTTCCCCAACAGAAACCTATCATTAAAATCAGAAGATGTTAAATGCTTATCTTTAAGCCATATGGTTCTAATGATGTGAAGCAGGAAAATCCAGTAAGCTGCTACCAGATGTGACATATATGTAAATATCAACTGCCATCTGCAGCTCCTATATTTTCCATGAAAATCATCCTCTCATTCCTTTAAATAGCACTGGCTCGTTAACTTGTGCCTCTCAGGTTGATTTAGGCTGATTCCAGAATACTGGTAAAATGCAGAACAGAGTTAGCTTTGTTTGGTAGGTGCATATATGCTTTCACATTCTCTGCTTGCCTCGGGTCAGTTTACATGATTATGAGGTCCCAACAGAAAGACATAAGCTCCAGACATCAACATACGGGCTGATGAGGACGCTGATAATCACAAAATTCCTCAAATCGGCCCAGTTTGATGAAGTTCAGCTGGTTGGTTTTTTGGTCTTTTTGCTGACAGCTTCCTGACAGAAACAGCACAGATTACATGTTAATAAAAACCCACAGCCAGGCGCTCACTCAGCTTTGTGATCAACAGTACTGTCTGCTGTGTTGTTTTTGTGTCAGCGGCAGCATTAGAAATGGAATCAGTCACCTAACAAGAGTTGGTAGATTTCATATTATTTGTTGTTTTTTGACCCCTCTACTTAAGTTTTTATATTAAATCCAGATGAGTGCCAGAAGAGTTTATTCTGGTTACTGCGACTGGATTTTTAGTTGAGGCTGAGGGCAGAGTTCTGCAGTTTGTGGAGGCTTATTTTTAATGATGAACACTGTGAAGGTAGAGGCTGTGGCTCCCTCTCTGTGTGATTGCCAGGACAAGAATTGGTGAGGATGCACTTATTAGCATAATTCCTGCCTCCACTGACGACAGGGTGAACAGGCTGAGCTGGGGATGAAACTTCATGTTGTGCTCACGGAAGGTCTGAGAGGGATGGAAAGGACTGGCCCCGAGAAGTTAGTGCTTAAAAGAAACTCTCCCATGGGCTGCACTCATCAGTGAGCTCAGAATCATGTTAGTCTGTGGTTTGAGAGGAGTCCTGAGGGTTCAGATTTTACATATAGAAATTCTGAATGATTAAAATATCTGAATAAAATCTTCTTTTAAAAAAGATATTGAGCCAGACAAGGTGAAAATATAATAATTTCTTATTATTTTCACCATGTTTATGTTATGTTAGTTCATCTTTGTACATCTTTGTTAAAAGCAGATTTATTCAAATATTTAGTTTTTATCATAAAAAAAATATGATCACTTCCGAAGATTTTCAAAAGCTGGCCTCTGCATCTTGTGAACAGAATACAAAATGATCAGGGAAAGCACATCGTGGAGCCCTATTTCACAACTCCTCAAGACTCCCAGCCCTGCTTGTTTTCAATGATTCTCATCTTGAGCCCCAGATTCAAACGAATGGATCGATTCTTCAACTCTCTTAGCTGTGCAGGAGGAGGATGGAGAGCCATTAACATGAATCAGGTGTGCTGGAACTGGGAAAATTGGAAAACTGTCAGAGATGAGCACATGTCAGTTCAGCTCTTCACCAATAGGGAGCAGGCAAGTCATTCCCAACACACACAGCCTGTTTTAGCTCCATATCACAAATCCAAAGCTCTCACTAATGAATGAAAACCACTTAAAAAGAGTCAGGGAGAGTAAAAAAAAAAAAGACCTGTGGTCATTATTTATGCTGAAACAGTACAAATGACCGCGAAAAAAAAAAAGGTCCTGTCTCATAAACAATGGCATTTTGGAGCATAACACAAATTTGTCCTGGCATGTCCACCCACTGGCTGAGGGACACTGGCCTTTGTGCACAGACAACTCAATCAGGTAACACCACCTTCCATCTGTGTGCACACCTCCGATGCGAGGCAGCTTCTGCTGTATTACAGCGCCATGCTGTTTGCTTCCAAGACATTAAATTTAGATTCTGTGATGTTTGAAAGGGCTTGTCAGCTGTGTTTGTTTTTATCCGGCAGAAAGTGGTCAAGCTGGGAGAGGTAATGCAGCTGATATATCAGAAGCCACTTTAGGTTGCTTACAGGAGCCAAATGAAACAAGCAAAGAAGTCAGTTGTTGCTGCCAAACGTGCTCTGACTGCAGCAGTGCAGCTCACAGAGCACTCACACACGGCCCTGCCCAGCTCCAATAACAAATAATGGACAGGTTTAGGCAAAGAAATGTGGCCCTCGGTGTTCAAAGGCTCTGCATCGCTGTGGCAGCACGTTTTAGTACATCATATGGTTACAATACTAACATTGTTTGGTATGATGAGTATGAACAGTCAGAGGCTTCTTCAGCATAACTGCAAAAAAGAACAGCACAACAGGTCACTGCTGCCTTCAGTAACAGCCCCATGCAGTGACCAATAATATCACATGAAGTACCGTACTAGTCACTATTAATTACTACTGAAAAAATGTATGGCTATATTGGAAGTATTATTTAATAATATAATAATACTTTAATCTCCCAAGAATACATTTAAAAAGATTCAATAAGTTATTAATTCAATTGCATATATATATATATA